CGTGGGAGAAAGATGAGGTGTTCTGCTCCCGTAAAGATTTATAGCCTCGGAAACCCTGTACAGGGTCGCTATGAGTTGGAACCGACTCCACGGCACACAGCCACCACCACCACTTACTTCTGTGAGTCTGGTAGAAGGCACAACTGCCTTAAGGGTTTCCAAGGCTGTAAATCTTAATGGAAGCAGACGGATAGCTTCTTGTCCTCCCAAAGAGCAGCTGGTGATTTTGAACCACCAACCTTGCGGTGAGTGGCTTAACCCACTGTGTCACCAGGACTTAAGTTATGTAGACACTTCATTAGGGAGCTCTGGTGGTATTGCAGGGCAAGCAAGGTCAGCAGTGCAAACCTTTTTTTTTTTCAGAGATCCAAAATGAAAGATTTTATTACTCAAGGATAATTTGGACTTCACCTGCTGTTTCATGGGGGCTTATAGTGTGACTTAGGACAGTGGACACAAAATCATCGTACGCCTGTGCTATAGCCTGGGGCTACTTTCTAAGACATCCAAGAGGACATGAAGTCAAACAAAACATGTGATGAATGTTTTCTCTGGGAAAATGCTTCCCCTCCCACGCGGCCCTGTTCTCTCTTGGGGATTCTCACTCTTCAGGCAGTTCTGAGGCTTGGGTCCAGCTGTAGCCCCTCTGCTTGGGCAGTGCCCCTCTGTAGCCATCAGTGCCTGGGCTGGAAGCTGAACCTCTGGCCTGTGGCAGTCTGGAGCACCCAGGGATGCTGTTGAAGGCTGGGGCTTGCAGGCATGGGCTGGATTTGGAGTGGGGGTGTTGCTGGGTTGGGAGGGGGGCTGGGGGAAACTCAGAACTCCTCCTGCTTACAAGTGACTGAGCCATAGGACAGCCACGCTGCAACTTTCCACATTTCCCACTATTCTTCAATCCACAGGTGGCTAGGTGCCTGCTCTCCCTCACCCCACTGCAGAGGCACCCTGCTTCTCCTGGGCCTGCCGAAGCAGTCACCTCAGGCCTGTACCCAGCTGCCCCCCACCCTTGTGACTCTGTGAACAAGACCCAAAACTGCCCGGGAAGGAGAACGAAGAGGCTGGTCCTGTGAAGATGTACAACCTGGGAAGCCCCATCTTGGGTCCCTATGAGTTGGAACTGACTCCACAGTGGATTTGGTTCAACACTTTACTACATCTTTGTTCATTTCTATTTTACTAGCTTCTTTTTGTATTTTGGAGACTTATTTCCCCCGTTTATAGGTCCAGTGGTGAGGATTTTTGTTTTCCTTATATTGAGATGCAATCCATACGGAAGGCTGTGCTCTTTGATCTTCATCAGTAAATATTTTAAGTCCTCTTCACTTTCAGCAAGCAAGGTTGTATCATCTGCATATCACAGGTTGTTAATGAGTAAGGTGGAGGGTCAGAGAAAAAGAGAAAGACCCCCAAGCGAGACGGATTGGCAAAGTGGCAGCATCAATGGGCTCAAGTGTGGCAACAATTGTGAGGTTGGCCCAGGATCAGGCAGTGTTTTGTTCTGTTGTACATAGGGTTGCTATGAGTCGGTACTGACTCGATGGCACCTAACAACAACAACAACAATCTGCGTCTTCATCTCCTCCCACCGTCACCCCCAGTTTACAGTGAAGGAAACTGAGGCTCAGATAGGTTAAGCGACTTGTCCAAGGTCTATGGTATGACTTGAAGTCAGAGCAGGCTCCCAAGAGGGATCCAGCAGCTCTCTGCCTCGGGTCCTAGGAGAAGCTGGCCTGGGCACACACCAGGCCACTGAAACATTCAGAGAGACCCTGGGCAGAGTAAAGGCTCTCTAGACCTTGGGCTCCTTGTCTCCAGGTCCCACAGATCAGACTCTAGACCAAAGGAACCCTTGGAACCAGACACACCCCCTGCCCCCCAGGGATTGAGCTGGGGACGCTGGTGTCAGCAGAGCCCTACACCAGTGACTGGGATAATCAAAGTCAGGACAAAGATGTGGCCAGCACCTGGTCAGCCTGGTGTTAGAAGAAAGGGGCTCTTGAGGGGGAGGGTTTGGCAAGTTTCCCATTCAGGTGGGGGTGTGCCCTGATGCTGTGTTAAAGCCCTCAGACACCCTGAAAAGCCACAGGCATGCTCTCAAATCATCAGGGGCCCGGTCCATTCAGAGAGTGAGGCTGGGAGCAGCATTTTATAGACTTCTTCCAGGAGGTCTCCTTAGGGGCATGGAGCCCCTCGTGGGTTCATGGTGGTGCGGGAAGCCTGCCTTTCCCAAGCTTCTGGACCAGGAAGCCTTCATTTCATCCTCAGCTACCCTAAGAGGCAGGTCTAAGCATCCTTGTCTTATACTTAGACCTGTATAAGTAGTAAGGCACGGAGGAGAGAGGTGGGGAAAAAAATCCAGAAAGGACAGCCTACAGTGGCAGCTTCTGGGGCAGGTGGGAATGACTGGGAGCCCCCTCAGGGCAGTGAGCTGGGGTTTGGGGGTATATAGGAAGACTGCATGGTGGAGGGTCCCTGGGGGACTCTGTGTATGTGTCTTAGTACTCTGTGGGGAGGCCGGACCTGGACGAGGCAGTGGGTTCCCAGGAGGGATTGAGGGAGAGCTGTCTCTGGTCCTCAAAAGTTTAGCCTGTTTCCGCCAGGACAGCTCCCTACTTTGGGGAGGGGACAAACCAGGGTGTGGAGGAGGCACCTGCTCCAGCCTGGGCCCAGGGGAGGCCTCGCTCCTGTTGGGTAGAACCCTGTGGGGAACCCATGTCCACAGCACCAACTGGGGAGCTTCAGAGAACCAGGTCTCTCTCCCCTGCTTCTGGTCTCCCGCCTTCCAGACCCAGTGTTGCAGGTATGGGGGCTGCAGGCCCCACATGCTAGCCCCTGAAGCCTCTTCCCTCAAGCAACACTACCAGGTGTCGACCCCTTGACTATCGTCACTTGAGGTCACCCTGTCTTGTCCTCCCCTTCTGCTTCCCCTTTTGTCCTCATCTAGTTGGTCCCATCCCTATGTTCAGTCCTTCCTATCGCACCTCCTCCTCTGACCTCTCACACAGATGGCCAGGGGCAGGCGCTAGGGAAGTGCAGTTCAGGGTGTGGCTGGAGGGAAGTGTGGAACTCCTCCATCCTGGGTTCACACACTGCTCCCCACATTCACACCCAGACACTGTACTACCTGTTCTGGCACAATCATGCTGCAGGAGAGCTAGGGGCATTGTGCCCAGCAGGTGCACTTACACAGGGCAAGGTGCCCACACAGGATGGAGCATGCTTGCCAAGTGCGGACCAGATGTGGGGGATCTTGCCTGGGCCACACGCATTCACCCCAGAGCCTGGGTCCTTCCTGCGTCTCAGAGTCAGGGTGTCCTGTACCCTGCACAGCCCTGGGCAGCCCTACAGACCACAGTGTGGAGCTCATATTTCGGATGTGTGTGCGGGACAGGAGAAGGAAGGGTCCTGGCTGATGTGCTGCCTATGGAGGGCTGCCTGGTCGCAGCATCTGACTGTGGAGGTCTCATTCCTGACCCCACTTCACAGCTAGAGCCAGACTGCAGCCAACAGGGCTGGGCAAGGAGTTCTCTTTGGTCTCCCTGTGTGTCAACAGTTCTGGTGCCACCTGTGGGAACGCTAATCTGCAGGGAGCCCCTGGACAAGTCCCTATAAAGGGTCCCTCAAACCAACTCCAAGGCACTTAACAAAAGCAACATGTTGGAGATGAGGAAATACACAAGGTCATACTTTAAAGCATTAAGTGGACCCTGGGAGGAACGCGCTGAGTTTTAAAAATAGTTTTTCTTGTTTCCTTGGCTGCATCACCATCTCATTCCCATTTAGAACGCCTGGGGCATCGGGTCACCTACCCCACACTACGCAGCCTGGTGGTCCCCTGACATGTCCAAGGCCTGCGCTGCCCAGTCAAGGGGCCCACCTCTCACTGTACTACCGGGAAGGTCAAGGGTCCCTAAGGGCACCTGCCAGCCAAGATCTTGAGACAGCTCACTTCCCATTTCCATGTAGGGCAATTCTCATGGCTGGGAAGTGCCTCCTTGGACGGAGGAGACCAGCTTCTCTCTACCGGTCCTTCACACCACACAGCGCACAGACCTCCGTTTTCGGGTACCCCTCCCACTGGTGGCGGCCGATCTTCGCTTCTTCTTCAGTCTTGGGGTCTTCTGGACAGCTCCGCTCTGAGTTTCAGTCTCTAGCCATTGAGATACTCAGAAAGGCCTGGCTGCGTCCTTCCCACCCCCACAAGCTCCAGCCTTTTCCAGGGTCTCTGGGTGTCCAGCGGGAAGGAGGTCTCATTTTGCAGCCCTCCCACCCGCCCCCCCAAGCAGACTGTCTTCCCTGGAACCAAGGTTTGCAGCTGGCGGGGACCAAGAGACAGTTGGCCTGGGGCAACAGGTTCTTTCTCCAGGTATGCAGAGACCGCGAAGCGCGCGCGAAGGTCTCGGAGCCGTCGCGACCCCCTGTCTGCGCTCCGGCCACGCCAGCGCCCTAACAGCCCGGGCCAGGGCGGTCAGAGCAGGGTTGGTCCCAGCTGCGCTCCTTCCTCTCGGCAACGAGTCCGGCCGCAAGCGCTTGTCATTGGCCCACGCCCAGCGGCAGCTCATTGGTCCGCTTCCCCTGTTTTACATAGGCTTTTCAGACCAATCGGAGCCGAGCACCTACTTAACATGCATGACTGCCGCCAGTCAGCGAGCGAGGGGGCCGGGCCACCACGTGCTGTTGCTAAGCTTGGGCTTCTAAATTGTTACTACTGTGGTCGGCCTATCGCCACCGAGATTCGGATCTGTCAACATTCTCGGCCCCCGCCCGAGGCGTTCGGCGCGCTCCCATTGGCCCCGAGTCGCACCGGCGCCCACCCCCGGAGTCGAAGCGCCCGTTTCTATTGGCTGCGCTGGCCGCCGCTTGCCCTTATGTGTCAATTTGCGTGGCCTGAGGCGGAGGGTGGCGGCCCGGCGCGTTGGAGTCCGCCGGAGTCGGGGAAGTGGGCGCCGCGGGCAGCTCAGGCGGGCAGTGAGCAGGGCCGCCAGGAGTGGGTCGGGTGGAGGCGGAGTGTCGGGAGCGGGCCGGAGCGGGCCAGGCCGGGCAGGCCGCCGGCGTCCAGGGGACGCGGCGGGCGGCGGGCGCGCGAGGATGGAGCTGAACTCCCTGCTGATCCTGCTGGAGGCGGCCGAGTATCTGGAGCGCAGGGACCGAGGTACCGTACCCCTTTGTGCGCCAACCGCGGGGAGGGCGGCGGGGGTTGCGGGCCTGCTGACCGCGCCGTCTGTCCGCAGAGGCCGAACACGGCTACGCGTCGGTGCTGCCCTTCGACGGCGACTTCGCCAGGAAGAAAACAAAGGCGGCTGGCCTGGTGCGCAAGGCCCCGAACAACAGGTACTGTCCCCCGCCCCCTGCCGTCCGCGCCGGGGTCGCGTCCAGCCTGACCCTGCCAGCTTCCTCCCGCACTCGGACCCCGGGCCCGCAGCCCCGGGCCTGCCGCGCGCCCCGGCGGCCAGCCTGGAGGAGGCGGTGCGCCCAGCGGCGGCGTGCCCCGCCCGCGCCGTCGCCATCTTCCTGCCGGCCGCGCCTCCCGGCCTCTCGCGTAAACAGTGCCACGCGTACAGCGCCCGCCGCAGGGTCCCCAGACAGCCGCGCCCCCGTCCCCCGAGTCCTTCTGGACTTTTCCAGGAAGGAAAAAAGTTGTCAGTGGGCTCCGGCTGGTATCCCCTGGGCACCGGGAGACTGAGGCTACTGGCGGGGCCCCTCTGGCCCCTCTCTCCGCGTGAGGGTGGGTGGACTGTGTGCCCTGCCCCACCCTCCAACTGTCGCCAAGGCGACCTCCCCCCAAGGTGCCTAGACAAAGAAAGCTGGGGAGCCCTGCCCTCTGGCCCCTATAGACTCCAAAGACAAGTGCAGGGGTGGCCTTGTGTTCTTTTAAAGTGGGCAGGGTGATGGCGAAGGGCCCCTAGGACCTCTAGGAGGGAGCAAGCTGCCAGGAACGACCACCTGGTGCCAGTAACCCCAAGTCTGATTCTCAGGCCTTGCATCCACATCCAGAGCTGGGGTGCACATCCCAGCTGGGGAGAAGCAGATCTGTGGGTCTCATGGGGTCTGGCACTGCCCAAGGGCTCGCTTGGGTCTAGCTGCTCCCCAGTCATTTGACTGGGAGCTGCGCTTGTGGGGGGCTCTGGGGCCCCCTGGCAGAGGGCGCGGCCCATTCCTGTGGCCTGCCTATTCTTGAGAAACAGAAAGGCTGGCACAGGGACCCATCTCGTGTGACGTTCTGGCGCCCTGGGTCTGGCCAAGAGTTACTTGAGTCTCTGTCTGCCTCATCTCTGAGTACCAACCAGCCGTCCCTTGAAGGGGACAGTGCAGGGCAGGATGTGAGAGTCAGAGGCTACTGCCCTGGCCTCCTGGTTAAGCAGTCCGGGGTCCTGCTGCCTTAGCACCGCTGTGGCCATGCCCTCAGGCTCCATGGGGTGGAAACCTATGCTAATAACCAGAAGACAGCTTGCTCATCATCACCAGGACCCATAAGGAGGTGGGTGCTCAGTTGTCACTGTTTTGCAGCTGAGGAAATTGAGGCACAGAGAGGTTGAGATGCCAGTTCTGGGTGTCTCCCATTCTGGTGCGGTGCTGTATAGGATAAGCACTGAACCACAGGCCGATTTGAACCACAGCTCCTTGAGAACTCTAAACAGGGTGGCCATGAGTTGGAGTAGACTCAAGGGGACTTGACAAAAACCCATTCTGAGGTGGGGCCTATGCTTCCACAGGCTGATGGGATCGAGACCTTGCAGACTCAGAGGGAGGCAATGGGAGGGTCTGTACACCTGGCACACCTCTGCTTCGCTGGGCAGAGCAGGCTCCCATTGTGTGGGCTAGCCTCCCACAGTGTCCTCTCGCCCGTAGGGCCTGGACCAGCCTGAGGCTTCCAGTCAGTACCTGTACTGGGTACCACTTTCCAAACTGTGCTGGCCCCCATGAGCTTGGGCATTGCAGACCACATGGGCTGGGGACCCCGAATTTGGAAGGCTGGGCCAGTAAGGCTTGTCTTGCCAAGAGGAGGAGGGTCTGGGGTGCCACTGGGACAGGGTTGGGGGGAGGGTGGGGTGCTGCAGGCTGTTTGTGGAGCAGGGTTTAGAAGGGGCTGCTTCATTTGAAAAGGGGAGAGAAGAGCACTGCCCACAGGTTGAGGTGAGAAAGTCAGGTGAAGCCTGTAAGACACCTGAGTGCAGTGTGGTGTGTGGGTGGGGACCAGGGTGCCCCCCCACCAGCCCAAGTGATTTGTCTCTTCTGAGTTGTTCCCACACATCTCAGATACAGCAGGGGCTCGGGATCCGCTCCTGTGCCCTAGGAGTACCTTCTGCCTCCAGGTTGGGGGTCCAGCCAGTGGTCACCCTGTGAAGGGATGGGCTCTCTCGGCCTCCCTTTTGGGGAAGTTGCCCCATAACTGGCTGTAGTGCCCACTGAGGGACAATACCTGGTGGGTGGTCAGGAGCCCTTGCCTGGTCCCAGCGGCCCTGGGTGACAGGCAGACCCTCAAGGATTTGAACCTGGGTCTGAGGACTGTCCTGGGATGCCCACTGAGCCTTATGGGAGACGGGAGGCTGTAGGTGGATGGGTGGCCACTTCTGCACGGAAGACCCCAGCGCCCAACCTCTGGAATGGGAGAGTCTGGGCAGGCAGTAGTCCGTGAAAACTCCAGGGAGGAGTGAGGGAGAGGGTAGGGTTTGGTTTAGGGGGGCCCTGCCTGGCCTCTGGGTTCTCTGAATCCAGGGGCTTGGTCCCTGCTTCATTATCCTCCTCTGGCAGACACAGTGTCACTGACCACTGGTCCGGGAAGTGTCCACGTCCAAGAGGTCCTCTTATGGGCTAATCCTGCTGGGACTGCTCTCCACTGGTGTCCCCATTGGCTCAGTGGGGCTGGGATCATGCAGGACGAGGCGTACAGGACAGTCTCAGCTGTCAGTGGAGTCTGGCTTCGGCTGCTGCCCCACAGCATGAGGACAGGACTGCCTATTTCTGAAAGGCCTGGCCCCTTTGCTCAGCAGGGCTCTGGCCCTCTGCTGACCCACATTAGCTTCAGGGACCCTCCTGGTTCCCATGAGCAGGCAGGAGACTAGGTGCTCCCGCTACCTAGGCACCACAGAGCAGATCAACAAGACCAGCTGTTGATGTCCCTTGGGCCTCCTCCACCCCTTCCTGTGATCCCCGGAGCCCTGAGGAGGGGTCAGGGGTGGTGGGGACAGAGGCCTATGAGGGCCTTGTGCTCCGGTGGTCAGGCTGACGCTGACTTTCTTCTCTGCACAGGTCTTCACACAATGAACTTGAGAAGCACAGGTGAGTAGCATCTCGCCCCCACCTAATCTTCCCCAACGTGAGCTGTCTGGCACCTGTCTAGTCCCTTTCTGCTAAGGGGGACACTGCGGCCAACTCTCTGACCTGGTGTGGCTCTGCTCGTTGCCTCCCTTCTGAGAAGGATCGGCCTGGGAGGCAGGGGGAGGGGGCTCAGTCAGTCCCTGCTCTTTGGAGCTTGGTCCAGAGCCAGATCGTGGGGGTGGGGATCATGGCCTCAGACAGGGCTGTGTGCTGTGAGATTCTCAGAGGAGGGAATGGATCCGCCTTGGAGCAGACCTCTGCTGCTGGCCAGGAGCGTTTGACCCTGTTGATTGGGGGCTTTCCTCCTGGGGACCTTTTCTTACTGGAGCCCAGTCTAGAGTCCTGTCCAGTGGGCAGTGGGCTGGGCAGCCTGTCCCAGGCCCTTTGGTGCAGGGCATGTCCCCTGTGATACCCACCCACTACAGGCTAGGTCCCTGGGCAGCCCCCCTATGCCTGTATCAGCTCTCGACCCTTTTCCTGGGTGCCAGACACCGCTCATGCCCATGTGGACCACCTAGGTGGGGACAAGGTGTGTGCCAGCTCAGGGCACTTTGGGGAGACTGTTGGTGTGATGGATGCCCTCGCTGATCTCAGGGCTTAGCGATGTGTGCAGGGGCAGCCCCGATGGCAAGAGCCCCATGCTTTTGATAAGGGGTGACCATGGTAGCTTTCTGTTCCCATCTGTAAGACGGGCCATCCCTTCCTCTTCTCCTCAGCTGAGGGGTGGGTATCTGGATCCAAGCCCAGCCCTCCCCAACTTGCTTCCAGAAGCTTTGGCACCCGGCCAGGTCTCTGTATCCCACCTCCGCCCGTGTCTGCGCCCACAGCAGCACCAACTTCCGCTCTCCTGGGATTCTGGCCTCTGACTGGGCGGCCACTGGGCAGGGACAGGACACTCTGTTCTCTGAGAAGCTGCACTTCCTGGACTGGCTGTGTGTGGGGATTGGGGGCTCCCTAGGGGCCCCCGAAGTGGGGGCAGGTGCAGAAACCATGAGAAAGACCTGCACGCCCCAGTGTTAACTCCCAGGCCAGAAGGGATGGGCCTGGTCTTGACTGGGGCGCAGGAGCCTGGGTAGACACAGTACCTGAGGAGGGGAGGACAGAGCTGACCTCTGACCACTGGCTCCTGCAGCTAGTTATTCCTTGACCCCAACTTTGACCTCTGCCACCTTCTCCCAGGGTTTACCCATAGCTTGGGGCTCATGGGACCCTTTTGAGTTCTAGAAGGGTGGTGGGAAGCCTCGTCGCCTAACCCCTTCCAGCTGCTCGGTCCCTAGTGGGGCCTTGGCCGTGGCGGTGCCTAGGGCTGGCTCTGATGCTCAATGCCCTGACCTCTGACTATAGGAAGGATACTCAAACACCTGGCTTGGCTGCCTAGCCAGTCCCTAGGGAGGCAGGACTCAAACCCCGCCCTCCTTGGGAGCATTCCCTCAGTTGGGGGTCCACATGAACTTCTAGTCTCTTCCTGGTGTGGAGCTCTGGACTGACCCTGGCCTGTTCTGCCTCCCTTCTCAGGGGCCTGCAGCCCCCTCAGTGTCCTACAGAGGAAGGCATTCTGCTGGCCAGTGACACTAGCTTCACCTGTGTGGAAATGGGCCCCAGCCCTCCTTCCCTTCTCTCTCCACCTACCGCCCAGCCCCTCAGTGTGGCTCCTGGCCCACACACACCCCCTCCCCAGGCATTTGTGCAGGCCCGTAGGTGGAGCCCAGGGTTCTGCATGGTCCTTGGGCAGCTGCCTCTCGGGGCCTCCGGCTACAGCCTTTATAAAGCACACAGGAGCAGGTGTTAGCTGTCAAAGCAAAGGTAAAGAGCAGGGAACGTGCCCCCCAACCTGGGAGAGAATTGCCACCCACTTCCCTGGCATCCAAGCCTGCTGGTCTAGGACCCTGCCCCTGACACGCAAGGACCCTGATGTGGGAGCGAAGGCCCCTTGGCCCCTTTGTGTCCCCCTCTGAGAAGTGAGGACTCGGAGCAGCAGACGGGAATGGCATGTGTGAAGGGCTGGGTCTGCCTCTAGTGACCAGGGCTGCTGTGAATCCCGAACAACCTTTCTAGGGGGTCCTTCCTCCTGAACCCACAGGGACTTCCCCAGGAGGTGAGGGGTCAGCAAGATCCTGGGCAGAGCCTGTTCCCCTCCCTCTGCTGCCTCAGCTCCCCTCCCTGTCCTTTCCTCATAGACAAGCAGCACCCTCAGGTCTGCTGACTCTGGTGACCCCCTAGGGTGCCCTCTGGCTGCTGACTGTGGCCTTTGCTGGCATGGGAGAAGTCATCCTTTCTAGCTCTTTGTATCTCCACCCCCACCCCAAGTTGTCGAGCCCACCCTAAAACTCCAGCTCTACACGTCCCCGGGCCTGGGTGGGTTTTAAACAGTTGCATGCTATTGTTTTCTGTCTCTGGAAGAATGGTGATTTCTAAGTGGTCTGTTAGAATATGTCACAGGGCACCTTGACAACCCCCAGTTCCCTTAGAAGCCCCAAAGATGCCCCTCATCTCTGGCTTTCTTCTCGGGAGTACTAACCTTCTAATTGAACTTGCATAAGACGGGTTTTACAATCTGTGATTTCCTAACACTTTTTTCGCGTGCCGTCTACCTTCGGTCCCCGGCTGCCTTCCGTCGTCTGTGCTGTCCTCTGCTGCCTGGGCTATGATGCATACACAGCATCCTCAGCTGGGCTTCCCTGGTGACAAACTCGCGGGTGACTGAGGACTAACGGCGGTGCAGCCAATATTGTTGCTCATGGATCTCTGCGTCCCTGTGGGGAGTGTTCGGTAGGATGAAAACCCGAGAAGCAGACATGCTGGTCAGAGACTAAGAGCTGACTTCATTTGGCGAGTGATTGCCAGATGGCCCTTCCGGGACTCCTGTGCCCATCCTCTGGCCAAATCAGCCTCTCCTTCCTTGGATTCCATGGGAGATGGGATCAGCTTTTACAGGGGACAGTTTTTAGTCATTTGTGTCCTACGAATTGCCTGTCTGTGTCCTTTGTCCATTTTTCTGTTGAAGAGATGCATATTCTTCTTCTTTTTTTAAAATCATTTTTAATCTCGAAATGTTACGGATACTGTTTGTCATTTGTATGTATTTTGAATATTTGTCCCGCTGTTCTGTGTCTTTCAGCTGTGTTTTGTCCTTTCCTGTACAAAATGTGTCTTTTTGTGATTGAGAATGTAACATGTGGTTCTGTGAACACTGAAGAGTTGGGCCAGGAATCAGCACAGGGCTGCACAAATAAACCTGACTGACCGCATCGCTTGGCAGTGCACGCTCCCAGCGCTTCCTGTGTTCTGTTGAGTCTCGTGTGCGTCCAGTTTTTTTTTTTTTTTTTTTAGCCAAAATTGGGTCACTTGTTGCAGATGTGATTCTCTATCTTGATTTTTACGTTTCACATTCGTGATGCACGATGGTGGGGCCGACTAAAATGAAAGTGAGATGGTTTCTGGGTGGTGACATTTGGGGGTCTTTTTCATCGCTTTGGTTTCTGTGTAACGATTTGTTTGTGTGTTCTCAGTTTTCCGCTGAGATCACGTGCTCCTTGTGGGATTAATGGTGGATGGTAAAAATTGCCGCTTACTATCTGGCCAACAGTGCAGTGGTTATACTAAGCAGAGACGGGTGATCTGAATTCATCGGTTCACCCATATGAGAAAGCTGCAATAGTCTTGTCTCCATAAACCCAACAGCCTAGGAAACCCTGCCCCATAGTGTTGCTGTGAGTCCAGATTGCCTTGGTGGCACTGGGGTTTTTTGCCCTTGTGCTTTTTCTATGGTGAGTGGATGGACCCGAGGTAGCGCAAGTAGTTTACACTAACCTAGAGGTTACGAATCGGTTTGCGAGCCACAAGGTCAGCAGTTCGAAACTCCCAGCTGTTCCGCGGGAGAAAGATGAGGCTTTCTGCTCCCGTAAAGATTTATAGCCTCGAAAACCCTGTACAGGGTCGCTATGAGTCGGAACCGACTCCATGGCACATAACAACAACAACAACAACAGAGGTTGGCAGTTTGAACCTACCCATTGGCACTGTGGAAGACAGGCCTGGCTGTCTCTTATTGCCAGCAAGAAAATCCTTTGGAGTAACATGAGTTGGTACCAGCTCACCATCTCCACTTGTGAACTGTGTCCCCAGTGTGGAGTGCTGGGGGTGCTTGGCAGGCTTTGCTGTAATGCAGCAGTCGTCCCTACTAGAGACGAGGAGGCCGATCCTGAGCTGTGCGATACGCTGGGTGTTTGGGAAGCAGTGGCTGGGGGCCTGCAGTGAATTCGGCAGCTACGCTACATGATACCCCTCTCTCCGTATCTGTGACCATTAGGAAGGAGCATCTCTAAGGACTCCCCCAGCCATCAGAAGGGTCTGAGACCTGCCTAGCCCTCAGTTCTCCATGTAGGTTCCAATGCCCAGAGCATAGCCCTGTGGCCTGAAATTCCTTCCTGCCGGGTAACCAAGGAAACTTAGGCACCATGGAGCTGTATGTAAGCAGGTGTGCGGTTGGGAAGGTGCTGTATGGACAAGGGTCCCAGGTGAGGCTGTTATCACCTGTCTGCACCGGCTTTGCTTGCAAGCTGAGCCTGGGGCTCCATCCCGGCATCCAGCTGCCCCCTCCTTCTCATGGGTCATAGGCTATCTTTGCCCCTTTCCTCCAAGGGCGTCTGGGACCTGGCGATGGTGGGTTTACCAGTGCATTGGAAAACGGGCCAGATGGGAATGATGGTACTGCTCAGGCGATGGCTGGCTTGCTGAGAGGTGGGCAGAAGCTCAGAATGATGCTTGGCCCTTGGACCTTGCGTAGAAGCCCTGGTGGTGCAGCGGTTAAGCACTCATCTGCTGACTCGAATGGTTGGGACACACTAGCACTTCCAAGGGAGAAGGATGTGGTAGTCGGCTTCCTTAAAGATTGCAACCTTAGCGCCCCTTTGGAGCAGTTCTCTGTCCACCTTGTAAGGTCTCTATGCGTCAGAATCAGCTCCGCAGTAGTGGATGGGCCTTTCACCTGACAGGTCCCTGAGTCAGACGTGATCCTTAGCCAAGGCTGGATATGGCCTCAGGGCAGGCAGATACCCCCAGGCCCTAGTTGTGCTAGTATGCTCTAGGTGCTGCCCTGGTGGTTGAACAGTGAAGTGGTGAAGCATGAACATGGGTGGGGTCCTAGAGAGACTTGGGTGTGCTGAGCATGGGATCCCAGGCCCTCTTCTGAATGAATCCTGCCAAACATGTCTGGAGTCTGAGGCACGGCACCTAGTGTAAAGGTTCCAGCTTGTGACAACAAGGCATTTGTCTCTTTGAACACGGGGATGACTCTGGAATGGAGTTACCAAAGGATTCCAAACCTGGGGAAATTGGATCAGGAGCGACCAGACCTTGGCCACCTGCCCTGAATGAGCCTTGCTTCTGTAGTGACAAGAATGAACAGAATACTTTGCACTTGGCGAAGGTGGGGCAGCATCTATCCAGCCTCCCAGGCTTCCTGGGCTCCTGGGTAGAGTGTGGTGGCAGCAGAGATGAGCACCCTGGCAGGGCTCTGGGGTCCTGGGCGAGTCGTGGTGGGCTGAGCTGGCCTCATGGGCTCAGGCCACAGCTATCTCCTTTACTTGGACACTGGAGGGCTGTAGGGGCCCTCGTGACTTGCTGCATCTGGCGGTCGGAGCTGGATGATGGGGTTTGTGCTGGGCCTTCCGTCAGGACCTCAGGGTGCTCTCTTGGGCCTTTCAGACGAGCCAAGCTCAGGCTGTACCTGGAGCAGCTGAAGCAGCTGGTGCCGCTGGGTCCCGACAGCACACGCCACACCACGCTGAGCCTGCTGAAGCGCGCCAAGATGCACATTAAGGTGAGCTGGCGCACCCACCGCCCCATCAGACTGCCTGGGCCCTGGGAGGGAGCTGCCAGGCAGGTGCCCACGGGAGGTCATTGGGGGTGTGTGTGTGTGTGTGTGTATGCTCATGCTTGATGGTTGGGGGTGGGCGGACTGGCAGCAGCTCGAGCTGCTGAGGTCACAGGCGTGACGTGACCTGGACATGGGTAGGGAAGAGGGGCAGGACAGGCAGGCAGGGACAGGATGCAGGAAGGAGGAGAGTGGAGAGAGGTTTGTGGTATAGGATCTTGGGACGTTTGGGCCGAATAGGGCATCTCAGGGAGCAAGGTGGCTCTGTAAGAAAAGCACTGGGCTTGGAACCACAAGATTGTCAGTTGGAGCTCACCAGCTGCTTCTCAAGAGAAAGCTGAAGCTTACTGCTCTCACACAGTTGTGCATCCTCAGAAACCCTATGCTGGGTCTCTGTGAGTTGGAACCGATTTGAGAGCACTTAACAATAAAACGGGGTCTAAGCCCTGAGGGTCTCCCTCTCTCTGCGTGGGTGTGAGCACCTCGAACCTGGCTGCATCTCAGCTGCCTCCCTGGGATGTGCAGGGGGTGTGTACCCAACTGAGGGGGCTGGGCGTTCTTTTGCTGGCCAGTTGACAGACTGCGTGGGGCTGGTGGGTGACCCCTCTGGCTGTGACGAGCGGGATCGGGATGCTCCATGGCTCACCCGCCCCCCCCCCCCCATGTCCCCAGAAACTGGAGGAGCAGGATCGCCGGGCGCTGAGTATCAAGGAGCAGCTGCAGCGTGAGCACCGCTTCTTGAAACGGCGCCTGGAACAGCTGTCTGTGCAGAGCGTGGAGCGTGTGCGTACGGATAGCACCGGCTCCGCCATTTCCACTGACGACTCCGAGCAAGGTGGGAGCCGGGGGCCAGCCAGCTGCCTGGCTGGGGAAATAGTCTGGGAGGGCCGGGTGTGTGTTTGTGTGTAGGGGTGTGTGTGATCATGTTGAAGGGCAGATGAGGCAAGTGGGCGAGATCTGAGCATCATTAGGCCCCTCCTGTGAAAAGCGTGTTCATTACTCATTGTCCATCTGAGGGGCGGACAGAGACAGTGAAACAGAGGTCGGTGACCTGCCTAACTGAGGGACGGTCCTGGGAACCTAGTACTGCCAATCTGCTGTCTCAGGGCCCCTGCCAAGTGCCCCCACCCCCAGGAGAGAAAGTAGACAACCGGAAGCCTTCCTTGGAGGGAGCCCCTGGTCAGGCCCCCTCCATCTTTCCTGACCCCATTCCCTCTCTGTTCCCTCCAGAAGTAGACATAGAGGGCATGGAGTTTGGCCCAGGTGAGCTGGACAGTGTGGGCAGCAGCAGTGACGTGGACGACCACTACAGCCTGCAGAGCGGTGGCTGCAGCGATGGCAGCTACGGGCCCCCCTGCCGGCGGCCTGGCCGCCCTGGCCTCTCGTAGGTCCTGTACCCTTGGCCCTCGGCCCACCTGCCTGCCCAGCCAAGCGTTTCA